TCTTGAGAAACCTGCGATCGGGAGATGTTGGTATATTACTCGAACTGAAATATAAAAATGAATCGTCGATGCTAGCATTGACTCAAATTCTCGATCGTCAATATTACAAAACATTCGACCAAGATTTAAAAAAAACGGAATATCTTCAATATAACAACAGAAGTTTTAATCGGAATTCATTATGATCCTACGGCTAATAAAACATCGCTAAGTTATCTGTGGAACGATCGAGATCTGGAGAAAGCTCAGCACGTGTAGTTGGAGTGTGCCGATAAGTATCCACGGTTCTATTTAAAAAGTTTTAATTTTTCTGGAGACCTGTAGTGTTTTGTTTTTGATAAAAATTTCAAGGAAGGTCTCTAGATTAAAACAGCGGGGCGCATTTTCGAGTTCTTCGATATTGAAGGCTAAAGTGGTGGCAGAGGCCCATATGTGTGACCGCAAAAATTCACGGCTGGTGGAATCAAATTAAAATGTCACGTGTGTTGGTCTTAAAACACAAAAAAAATGAGATCGGTAAAAATATTATCACCGCTATAATATATATGTATTTAGATGTATTTATTTAAGCATTATTGCTTTTTTCACTTCGGAGTTTTTTTTTTTAAAAAAAATGGTTTTGAATTTGGTTTTAATTTTTTTCAGTTTTAACTCTTTTTAGAATGTTTCAGTCCTAAATCTTTTCAAAATTTTCCTAATTTATTTTTAATTCTTTTGCAACTTTTTTACTCCTTTACTTTCAATTTTTGTATCTGCTAATTTATATTTTTTGTATCATTTCAACTTTAATTATTATTTTTACATCCATAGCTATAATTTTGAATTTTAATGCGTTCCATTCTTTTGTTTTTTTAAAGGAACATAACTTTTAAAACTTTATTTACATGTTGATTGATTAAAAAAGAATAATAAAAAAATTAAGTATCGGATTCAAATTTAAAGACAAAATCATCATTTGCTCGCAAAATTACTCCAATGGGGGCCCTGAAATGGCATTATTACGCCCCCCAGACTTTTGCGCGCAGATAATATAGTGGTTCAGTCGCTAAGTCGTTCCGCGAAGTTAAGCTACGTCGGGAGTAGTTAGTACTTCGATTGGAGACCGCATGGGAACGAGCGTTGTCCACTGAAGATTGTGATAGTTACTTGTGATTGAAAACTCCCAGCAGCCCTCCCTGGTCGTCAAATAGTGAATTAACGTACCTGGCGGATCGGTAATTAACTAAATTATTGCCTCTACAGTATTTCTGGGAGTTTCCACTCCGCTTACGTCGGAGACACTTCGGTCAGTGCCACTCACATCAGAGACACTTGCCTTTGGAACAGACCTAACACTGAGGTAGCAGATCAACGCCCGGCAGCACTGACATCAGTGTATAGGTCTGTTCCAGAGGCAAGTGCTACTGATCTGAGCACTTGCCATTTTTACCAGGGTGACGTGTAAAGGCGTTCTCAAATGTTTCAAACTCCCCTTTTTAAAGAATTGCGCCCCCTTACCTACACGGTGCTGTCAGGTTTCGTTTCCCATAATGATGCTGCTGATGAGGCAATGTAAATTTTGAGTAATTGCGATCGTTGCCAAAGATCTTGAAATAACTAACCATTT